CAACCACACCAACACAAACACTACATTTTCTCCACACAACACACAACCACACCAACACAAACACTACAGTTCCTCATACACAACACACAACCACACCAACACACACACTACAGTTTCTCCACACAACACACAACCACACCAACACAAACACTACAGTTTCTCCACACAACACACAACCACACCAACACAAACACTACAGTTCTCCACACAACACACAACCACACCAACAGAAACACTACAGTTTCTCCATACACAACACACAACCACACCAACACACACACTACAGTTTCTCCACACAACAGACAACCACACCACACACACACTACAGTTCCTCCATACAACACACAACCACACCAACACAAACACTACAGTTTCTCCACACAACACACAACCACACCAACACAAACACTACAGTTCCTCCACACAACACACAACCACACCAACACACACAAACACTACAGTTTCTCCACACAACACACAACCACACCAACACAAACACTACAGTTCCTCCACACAACACACAACCACACCAACACAAACACTACAGTTTCTCCACACAACACACAACCACACCAACACAAAGACTACAGATCCTCCACACAACACACAACCACACCAACACAAACACTACAGATCCTCCACACAACACACAACCACACAAACACTACAGATCCTCCATACAACACACAACCACACCAACACACTACAGTTCCTCCACACAACACACAACCACACCAACACACACACTACAGCTCATACACACAACCACACCAACACACACACTACAGCTCATACAAAAAACCACACCAACACACACTACAGTTACTGCACACAACACAAAATCACACCAACACACACGCTACAGCTCATACACAAAACCACACCAACACACACTACAGTTACTGCACACAACACAAAACCACACCAACACACACACTACAGCTCATACACACAACACACAACCACACCAACACAAACACTACAGTTCCTCCACACAACACACAACCACACCAACACACACACTACAGTTCCTCCACACAACACACAACCACACCAACACAAACACTACAGTTCCTCCATACAACACACAACCACACCAACACACACACTACAGTTCCTCCATACAACACACAACCACACCAACACAAACACTACAGATCCTCCACACAACACACAACCACACCAACACACACACTACAGTTCCTCCACACAACATACAACCACACCAACACAAACACTACAGTTCCTCCACACAACACACAACCACACCAACACACACAAACACTACAGTTCCTCCATACAACACAAAACCACACCAACACAAACACTACAGTTCCTCCACACAACACACAACCACACCAACACAAACACTACAGTTTCTCCACACAACACACAACCACACCAACACAAACACTACAGTTCCTCCACACAACACACAACCACACCAACACAAACACTACAGTTTCTCCACACAACACACAACCACACCAACACAAACACTACAGTTTCTCCACACAACACACAACCACACCAACACAAACACTACAGTTTCTCCACACAACACACAACCACACCAACACACACACACTACAGTTCCTCATACACAACACACAACCACACCAACACAAACACTACAGTTCCTTCACACAACACACAACCACACCAACACAAACACTACAGCTCATACACACAACACACAACCACACCAACACAAACACTACAGTTTCTCCACACAACACACAACCACACCAACACACACAAACACTACAGTTCCTCCACACAACACACAACCACACCAACACAAACACTACAGTTTCTCCATACAACACACAACCACACCAACACAAACACTACAGTTTCTCCACAACACACAACCACACCAACACAAACACTACAGTTCCTCCACACAACACACAACCACACCAACACAAACACTACAGTTTCTCCACACAACACACAACCACACCAACACAAACACTACAGTTCCTCATACACAACACACACACCGTTAGTGCAACACTATCGACGAGTCAATAGACCCGCCCCCTACTTAGACGTCTGTGAAAGAGAGCTTCAGAGCTTATCAGATTCCTCCAGCATAAACATTCCGACATAACTACGTTAATTACAACTAAACCTAACCTGTGGCGTGTGTCATCTCGCATTAACACGATCTATTACCATTTGTTGGAATATATCGTCGCCTAAACGTGACTATATAAAGAGTTAGGAGAACACTCTTGACAATTTGTTTTGAACTCAAAATGGGGAATGTCTCCACAACTCTGCGGCTGTCGGCTGGTGATGCTGGTTGTTGTTGTAATTAGGGGCCATCCATAAAGACGTCACGCACCGGGGGGGGGGGGGGGGGGGGTCAGACATTTGTGACGATGTGTGACAAGGGGGGGGTGGAATCACTACTAGACGTTGTGTTTCACCACTAGACGTCGTGTTTCACCACTAGACGTCGTGTTTCACCACTAGACGTCGTGTTTCACCGCTAGGCGTCGTGTTTCACCGCTAGGCGTCGTGTTTCACCGCTAGGCGTCGTGTTTCACCGCTAGGCGTCGTGTTTCACCGCTAGGCGTCGTGTTTCACCGCTAGACGTCGTGTTTCACCACTAGACGTCGTGTTTCACCACTAGACGTCGTGTTTCACCGCTAGACGTCGTGTTTCACCACTAGACGTAGTGTTTCACTACTAGACGTCGTGTTTCACCACTAGACGTCGTGTTTCACCACTAGACGTCGTGTTTCACCACTAGACGTCGTGTTTCACCACTAGGCATAGTGTTTCACTACTAGACGACGTGTTTCACCACTAGGCGTAGTGTTTCACCACTAGACGTCGTGTTTCACCACTAGACGTCGTGTTTCACCACTAGACGTCGTGTTTCACCACTAGACGTCGTGTTTCACCACTAGACGTCGTGTTTCACCACTAGGCGTCGTGTTTCACCACTAGACGTCGTGGTTCACCACTAGGCGTCGTGTTTCACCACTAGGCGTCGTGTTTCACCACTAGACGTCGTGTTTCACCACTAGGCGTCGTGTTTCACCACTAGACGTCGTGTTTCACCACTAGACGTCGTGTTTCACCACTAGGCGTCGTGTTTCACCACTAGACGTCGTGTTTCACCACTAGACGTCGTGTTTCACCACTAGACTTAGTGTTTCACCACTAGACGTCGTGTTTCACCACTAGACGTCGTGTTTCACCACTAGACGTCGTGGTTCACCACTAGGCGTCGTGTTTCACCACTAGGCGTCGTGTTTCACCACTAGGCGTCGTGTTTCACCACTAGACGTCGTGTTTCACCACTAGGCGTCGTGTTTCACCACTAGACGTCGTGTTTCACCACTAGACGTCGTGTTTCACCACTAGGCGTCGTGTTTCACCACTAGACGTCGTGTTTCACCACTAGACGTCGTGTTTCACCACTAGACTTAGTGTTTCACCACTAGACGTCGTGTTTCACCACTAGACGTCGTGTTTCACCACTAGCCGTCGTGGTTCACCACTAGGCGTCGTGTTTCACCACTAGGCGTCGTGTTTCACCACTAGGCGTCGTGTTTCACCACTAGACGTCGTGGTTCACCACTAGACATCGTGTTTCACCACTAGACGTCGTGTTTCACCACTAGGCGTTGTGTTTGACCACTAGACGTCGTGTTTCACCACTAGACGTCGTGTTTCACCACTAGGCGTCGTGTTTCACCACTAGGCGTCGTGTTTCACCACTAGACGTCGTGTTTCACCACTAGACGTCGTGTTTCACCACTAGACGTCGTGTTTCACCACTAGGCGTCGTGTTTCACAACTAGGCGTCGTGTTTCACCACTAAATGTCGTGTTTCACCACTAGACGTCGTGTTTCACCACTAGACGTAGTATTTCACCACTAGGCGTCGTGTTTCATCACTAGACGTCGTGTTTCACCACTAGACGTCGTGTTTCACTACTAGGCGTCGTGTTTCACCACTAGGCGTCGTGTTTCACCACTAGACGTAGTGTTTCACAACTAGACGTCGTGTTTCACCACTAGACGTCGTGTTTCACCACTATACGTCGTGTTTCACCACTAGACATCGTGTTTCACCACTAGACGTCGTGTTTCACCACTAGGTGTCGTGTTTCACCACTAGACGTCGCGTTTCACCACTAGACGTCGTGTTTCACCACTAGACGTCGTGTTTCACCGCTAGACGTCGTGTTTCACTACTAGGCGTCGTGTTTCACCACTAGACGTTGTGTTTCACCACTAGGCATCGTGTTTCACCACTAGGCGTCGTGTTTCACCACTAGACGTCGTGTTTCACCACTTGGCGTCGTGTTTCACCACTAGGCGTCGTGTTTCACCACTAGGCGTCGTGTTTCACCACTAGGCGTCGTGTTTCACCACTAGGCGTCGTGTTTCACCACTAGACGTCGTGTTTCACCACTAGACGTCGTGTTTCACATCACAAACACGTGAAAGCCCTTTATGTAGTTTATTGTAAAAATTCGGTCACAGTCCCTGTGATCACTGTTACGTTGGAATTATGGCTTTATTTTGTTGGTGATTTCGAAACGTTTTTTTGGTTTGGACTTGTTTGTTTTGTTGTAGTACGGAGTTAGACTGATGGCCTTAATCTAAGTTTTCTTGTGGTTGTTGTTGTTGTTTGACTTGCATCCCACTGGGATTTTTTTCACACAGCGTTGATGTACGGTGCTCTTTTTTCAGGAATATTTTTTCTGTTTTTTTAAATGGATTTTCTGTTTGCACAGTCACACAGTCACTTTAAGATGTTTTTCTTGTTCATGTTTTTGTTTGTTTGTTGCGGTTGCACCCGATTCAAGAGCCGAATGGCTCACAGGGCTATACCAAAATAAATAAACTGAAAACTGAAAAAACTGAGTGCTCTATTGGCGAAAAGTGAAGGCGCAGGTGACGTCACGGGGGAAGTGCGCGGATAAAGTCACGGACAGGGAGGTGCGGCTGACGTCACGGGGGGAAGGCACGCAGAACGTCACGTGCGGGGGGTGGATCGCGGGTGACGCCCAGGGGGTTTTGCCGCGATGATGACGTCACGGAAAGGGATGCGCGGGTGACGTCACGACGGTGGATGCACCGGTGACGTTTTGGGAGGGAGGAGGCGCTGATGACGTCATGCCCGGCGAACGCGCCGCGCAGTGGCGAGGAGCGAGGAAAGGAGCAGGCGCCATGAGCGCCTCGCGGAGCCAGGTGCGGGACTAGGCCGCGTTACCCTGGGGGAGACCGCGTTACCTTGTGTGAGACGTTACCTTGTGTGAGACGTTACCCTGAGGGAGACCGTGTTACCTTGTGTGAGACCGCGTTACCTTGTGTGAGACGTTACCTTGTGTGAGACGTTACCTTGTGTGAGACGTTACCCTGAGGGAGACCGCGTTACCTTGTGTGAGACGTTACCTTGTGTGAGACGTTACCCTGAGGGAGACCGTGTTACCTCGTGTGAGACGTTACCTTTTGTGAGACGTTACCTTGTGTGAGACCGTGTTACCTTGTGTGAGACCGTGTTACCTTGTGTGAGACGTTACCCTGGGGGAGACCGTGTTACCTTGTGTGAGACGTTACCCTCGGGGAGACCGTGTTACCTTGTGTGAGACGTTACCTTGTGTGAGACGTTACCCTGGTGGACACCGTGTTACCTTGTGTGAGACGTTACCCTGGGGGACACCGCGTTACCTTGTGTGAGAGTTACCTTGTGTGAGACGTTACCTTGTGTGAGACGTTACCTTGTGTGAGACGTTACCTTGTGTGAGACGTTACCCTGGGGGAGACCGCGTTACCCTGAGGGAGACGTTAACAATTGGGGGAGAAGTTACGCTGAGGGAGACCGCGTTAACCTGAGGGAGACGTTACCCTGGGGGAGACCGTGTTACCTTGTGTGAGACGTTACCCTGAGGGAGACCATGTTACCTTGGGTGAGACGTTACCCTGGGGGAGACCGTGTTACCTTGTGTGAGACGTTACCCTGGGGGAGACCGTGTTACCTTGTGTGAGACGTTACCCTAGGGGAGACGTTACCCTGAGGGACACCGTGTTACCTTGTGTGAGACGTTAACCTGAGGGAGACGTTACCTTGTGTGAGACGTTACCCTAGGGGAGACCGTGTTACCTTGTGTGAGACGTTACCCTGGGGGAGACCGTGTTACCTTGTGTGAGACGTTACCCTGGGGGAGACCGTGTTACCTTGTGTGAGACGTTACCTTGTGTGAGACGTTACCCTCAGGGAGACCGCGTTACCTTGTGTGAGACGTTACCTTGTGTGAGACGTTACCTTGTGTGAGACGTTACCCTGGGGGAGACCGTGTTACCTTGTGTGAGACGTTAACCTGAGGGAGACGTTACCTTGTGTGAGACGTTACCCTGGGGGAGACCGTGTTACCTTGTGTGAGACGTTAACCTGAGGGAGACGTTACCTTGTGTGAGACGTTACCCTGGGGGAGACCGTGTTACCTTGTGTGAGACGTTACCCTGGGGGAGACCGTGTTACCTTGTGTGAGACGTTACCCTGGGGGAGACCGTGTTACCTTGTGTGAGACGTTACCCTGTGTGAGACGTTACCTTGTTTGAGACGTTACCCTGGTGGACACCGTGTTACCTTGTGTGAGACGTTACCCTGGGGGAGACCGTGTTACCTTGTGTGAGACATTACCCTGGGGGAGACCGTGTTACCTTGTGTGAGACGTTACCCTGAGGGACACGTTACCCTGGGGGAGATCGCGTTACCTTGTGTGAGACGTTACCCTGGGGGAGACGTGTTACCTTGTGTGAGACGTTACCCTGAGGGAGACCGTGTTACCTTGTGTGAGACGTTACCCTGGGGGAAACCGTGTTACCTTGTGTGAGACGTTACCCCGGGGGAGACCGTGTTACCTTGTGTGAGACGTTACCCTGAGGGAGGCCGTGTTACCTTGTGTGAGACGTTACCCTGGGGGAGACCGTGTTACCTTGTGTGAGACATAACCCTGGGGGAGACCGTGTTACCTTGTGTGAGACGTTTCCTTGTGCGAGATATTAGCATGTGTGAGATGTTGGCATGTGTGAGACGTTACCTTGTGTGAGACGTTACCTTGTGTGAGATGTTGGCATGTGTGAGACTTTACAGAGTGCGAGACGTTACCTTGTGTGAGACGTTACCTTGTGTGAGACGTTACCTTGTGTGAGACGTTCTGTAATGCTGAGAGTTGATACTATAGCACTAGTATTGGTACTATAGCGCTGTAGTAGTGGTACTGTAGCACTGTAGTAGTGATACTATAGTCGCTGTGATACACGGCGTGACTTCCTCTTTCTCCCAACTCTGTTCGGCGTCTTTTTGTGCGTAGCGTCATCTCCACCCCCGCATCTATTTCACTCGCCACATCTCTCTCTCTTATACACTTTACACATTAGACTCTCGATTATCCACGCTAATGACGGGGAGGATAATAATCCAAACATATCCATTTTCTAGATTTAAAGCTTTCGTGACTGCTAGGATCCATACTCTTTGGTTCTATTGGATAAAGTCACGTAGGTGAAAATAAAATAACAAAAAATCACGACGTTTCGGCCACAACACAAGCGGCCTTCATCAGGTGAAGGGACGAGACTGTCTGGAGGACAGCGCTGGAGTGGAAGAAGCCACGCTTAGATCACGACCTTTAAGCTGTGTGAGAAGAAAAAGGCCACGTGCCTTGACAAAGGAATTAGCATATAATTTAGCATTGAAATGGCTCATTGAAATAGCTAAGTTAAAGTATACACATCCGCAGAGGTACCCCTTGACAAAGGAATTAGCGCTGGAGTGGAAGAAGCCACGCTTAGATCACGACCTTTAAGCTGTGTGAGAAGAAAAAGACCACGCGCCTTGACAAAGGAATTAGCATATAATTTAGCATTGAAATGGCTCATTGAAATAGCTAAGTTAAAGTATACACATCCGCAGAGGTACCCCTTGACAAAGGAATTAGCATCGAATTTAGCATTGAAATAGCTGAGTGATTAGCTTGTAACTGGTCACAGAAATAGCTATGTTAAAGTTAGAGCATATACATTCACCGAGGCACCTAGTACAAATCAAACAGGATAATTTAGCGAAACACAACCACACTCAGACATCGGACCTGTGTGCGAGCAAACAAGAGGTGGTGTACGTGCCGGTGGACTGATGATATCATCTCTCAGGTCGATGTAGCCTTCAAAGGCGTAGGACACATCCAAGCAGACGTTGCGAGAGCTGAAATAGCCACTATTCTTAAGAATGCTAAGAAACCCATTAGTAACAGCAAAAATTGAACGCTCTGAACTCGCGAATTTAAAAAACAGAAGTGATATAGTCATCCTCTCAGCCAATAAAGGCAACGCTACTGTTATTACGGATAAAGATTCATACAACAACAAAATCCAGAATCTGCTCAACGATGGAAGTTACTCAAAAATAAAAAATGACCCTACTAATAGCCTAGCGATAAAAACCAACAAGATCATCACAAGTTCGACCTCCCTAATCGACCCAACTAAACGTCCCTCCCTAAAACCTGCTGCAAGACCCCCTAGATTCTATGGTCTTCCCAAGATTCATAAAGAAGGCACCCCACTTCGACCCATTGTATCCACGATCAACTCCCCTACCTATAGACTAGCCCGTTTTCTGTCAGATACCTTGCTGCCTTTCACTGGCAAGACTGCCTCAGCAGCACTCAACTCAGCCCAATTGGTCTCTATGGTCAAAGACGTTGTACTGTCCCCTGACGATATCCTTGTCAGCTTCGATGTGGTATCTTTGTTCACCAAGGTCCCAGTACCTGATACCATTGAAATAATTGAAAATTTGGTCCAACATGGACTAGACCCCGACACACCTGCACTGGTTAGACACTGCCTCAACAATACCTACTTTACTTGGAATGGCTCCTTCTACAAACAAAATGAGGGTACCCCCATGGGATCCCCCTTATCACCAGTGATAGCCAATATTTTCATGGAGAAATTTGAATCAGACGCCATCCAGACTTCCACCCTCAGACCTTCCCTGTGAAAGAGATATGTGGATGACACTTTCGTCATTTGGCCACATGGCCTCCCAGCTCTGAACCTTTTCCTACACCACATCAGTTCCAGACATCCCGCCATCAAATTCACCATGGAACTGGAGAAAGATGGCAAGCTACCATTCTTAGATGTTCTGTTTGAGAGGAGACCTGATGGCGCATTGGGGCATTCTGTCTACAGGAAACCCACCCACACAGATTCCTACTTGAAACCTGATTCCCACCACTACCCAGCCCAAAAGAATTCTCTCATCAAAACTTTATACCATAGGGCTCATTGCATTTCAGGACCAACACCACCTGACCAGTGAATTAAAACATATACACCTGGCCCTCAAAAGGAATGGTTACTCTGACCGTACCATCCGCCAAGCTGTCTCTCCCTCCATACAGAAACAACCACTTGATACTCCGGTGAAAGCCATCACACTTCCATATATAGCAGGTGTTACTAAAAATATTTCCAAAATTCTAAACAAACACAAGATCCAGGTCCGGTTCAATACAGTACACAAAATTCGTGATCTGATCCCATCTGTGAAGGATGTCATTCCTGATTTACAGTACCCCGGGGTTTACAAATTGAGTTGTACCTGCGGTGATTGCTACATCGGTGAGACAAAGCGACATGTCTCTGACCGAATTCGCGAGCACAAATCATATTTGAAACACGGCAAAATAATTCTTCTGCCGTGGCTGATCACTGTTACAACGCTGTGGGGGATCACGATATAATTTTCTCCGATACCAAGGTTCTTTGCAAACCCACGGGCTTTTATCAGAGATTTGTTCATGAAGCAATTCAGATCTACAAACACAGACACAATTTCAATCGAGAGGATGGTTTCAAATTAAGCAACCATTGGAAAGATGTTCTAAATCGAACTAAACATTAAACTAATTTCAATGGTACAGTATATTTTTCAAGTAGTGGTACCCCAAACTTTTGCAGCTCTTATAAATTCCCCCTTTTCACACCATCAATAGGTAAACTCCCCCCTTCCCCCCCCCCCCCCCGCGCCAAACTGCGAGTCCACCGGCACGTACACCACCTCTTTCCTAAAATCCGCCAATCAAATGCTAATTTTTATGCTAATTTCTTTGTCAGAATACCTTGTTTGCTCGCACACAGTTCCGATGTCTGAGCGTGATTGTGTTTCGCTAAATTCTCCTGTTTGATTTGTACTAGGTGCCTCGGTGAATGTATATGCTCTCACTTTAACATAGCTATTTCTGTGACCAGTTACAAGCTAATCACTCTGCTATTTCAATGCTAAATTCGATGCTAATTCCTTTGTCAAGGGGTACCTCTGCGGATGTGTATACTTTAACTTAGCTATTTCAATGAGCCATTTCAATGCTAAATTATATGCTAATTCCTTTGTCAAGGCGCGTGGTCTTTTTCTTCTCACACAGCTTAAAGGTCATGATCTAAGCGTGGCTTCTTCCACTCCAGCGCTAATTCCTTTGTCAAGGGGTACCTCTGCGGATGTGTATACTTTAACTTAGCTATTTCAATGAGCCATTTCAATGCTAAATTATATGCTAATTCCTTTGTCAAGGCGCGTGGCCTTTTTCTTCTCACACAGCTTAAAGGTCGTGATCTAAGCATGGCTTCTTCCACTCCAGCGCTGTCCTCCAGACAGTCTCGTCCCTTCACCTGATGAAGGCCGCTTATGTTGTGGCCGAAACGTCGTGATTTTTTGTTATTTTATTTTCACCTACGCGACTTTACCCAATAGAACCAAAGAGTATATCCATTTTCCGCAGATCTCTATGCCAAAAATCAGTTATGTCTTCCAATTTACGTGTAATATCCAGTTTCTGATTCAAAGTTAGAACAACACGCTTCCGTTTCTCTGCCATCGCACAGTGTTTATAAATTAAAACTCACAAAAAAATGATCGGATAAATCTCTCAAAATGAAGTACAACTGACAATTTCGATTGTTACCCTTTCGATGTAGAACGAACGCTAACAATGTACCGACCGATAGATGATGCGCGTGCTCAGTGATAATAACTCTTTCCTGCTCCCGCCCAGCAGAAGACAGCGCCCACTCAGTGGACAGCAACAGAGCCACGCCAATCAACATCAATCAAACTCTGCCCACCATTGTAAATACATGCCAACTACTGTACTGTTGAGGCGATCACGTGGATCTCGGATTAACCGGAGCAACATTTGTTCGGTTTAAGCACATGACTTGTGATAAACATTTGCAAGAATAGCAATGTATTACTGTTTTTAGATTGTTAATTTGGGCTTAAGGGAAAATCTATGCGTTATTAATTCATATCAAAATCTCAGGTGCACGGTTAATATGCAAATAGGATAAACCGCACAAGGATAATCGAGAGTTTTATTTAAATAAATGACTGTCACACATGGCATATTTAAAGAAATTCTGTATAAACGCAACAAATGTGAAAGTAAAAATGTTTAACCTTTGTACTGTCAAATATAAACAATAAAATAACAGTTTGGAACGGCACCGCCACCGTTATCCCTTACGAGCAGCAAAATTAGGCAGCACTTTCCAGGAACGCAACTAGGCCTCGGCAAGGTAAGGTAAAAGATAAAAACAACGAGCCTACCTTTACCCTACTTTTACCTTACGACAATACAATCACTTTACCCCACCTTTTAGCAGGTAAGGTACAAGGTTAAAAGCAACGAGCCTACCTTTACCCTACCTTTTACCCTCACCCCATACAAATTACCCGGTTACAGGGTAATTACTGGGGTACTACACATGAAAAAGGTTTATAACAGGTAAATGCTAGGTAGAGCGCTTTATTCATATAGAATACTCTCGATGATTCCAATTTTACACGCTTTCATTAACTCACTCTGTTGTCATTGTTGTGGTATCCTCAAATCTTGTAACAAAATTTTAACCCACTTCTCAATGTGGTATCGACTGCAAACTTGGTATACTTATGTCATACTAATGACAATACTATATTCTATCATAAAAATAAAATATATTTTTAAACATTCTTTTTTATATGTTATGTTTCGGCTTGGGTCTAATTGTCCACTGTCAACTGACGTTGGCTGTAATTGGCCACGGTCCCTTACGTTGTGGAAAGCTTTGGGGCCATTTCCTGGAGTTGTGGAGTTCTGCCATTACTAGTACATTTCATAAAAGCGTGTTCTTAAAAAAGTTTTTTTTAAATATTACTTATTAAATGGAGGCCACGGACTGCGCCATAGAGCTTTTAGCGGTAAACAAGGCACCGTATTTACCGGGTAATACTTCACGCTACCTTTACCCTATCGGGTAATTCTTCCGAGCTACCTTTACCCTACCCTTTACCTTACCCCTTGGCATGTCGATACCTTTACCCTTTATCTTTACCCTTTTACCCGGTAAAAAAGGTAAATTACCTTACCGAGGCCTAAACGCAACCCCCGCGTTAAGCGAGGACTTTGCTGCGGTTGTATGATTTTATTTCAACCGTGCAATGTGCTGGTGTACCTCCTACTCGCAGCCTCTATGATTCCGCTTTATAATTCACTCTTCCAGCAAGGGTCAAAGGGCCCCCCCCCCCCCCCCCCCCCCCACGTAAGGTTTTCATGAGTCGGAGCATTTATACATTTAAAAAATGTCAAAACGCGCCGCGGGAAAACTGTACCTCCGTTGTTTATCCAGCCTCGTTAAGGGGGCAGTCATTTCTAAGTTTATCATGTTGACAGGTACAATCAGTCGTGTTTTACGTGTGTCATGGGATGTATGATTTATTTATTTTAATTTTGTAGAGTCCGACATGGGTTATGTTGTGTGCATACGATTGAGTTATATATTTTTTCCCCAATGTAAATCATGCAGCAGTTTTTGTCGGTTGATGTGCCCATCCTTGTGACACGTGTGCATGCAGGATGCGTCCTTACAGGAGCCTGAGAAGGCACAGCAAGAATCCAGAACAGAATCGACGGTTCCACCTGATCACCGACCAGAGGGCAAGCCCGCGGAGAAGTTAACCAACGCATCCCAGCCTTTGGACGACAATGCTTCCGCAAAAGAGTCACGCCTTCAGCGGCGTTCCAAAAAAGAATCCCAAGCGGCTGAATGTCCAGAAGGCGAGTCCCAGGCTTCGCTCGGTTCTCGCAAGCCAAGCGAAGAGTCGGTGGACGCGCAGCGCCGAAGGGGAGATGCTGACTGTGAGCGGCAAATTGCGGAGGTTGAGGGTGACGCGGGAGGAGAGTGCTCCCGGGCGTTGCAGGCCGGAGCGGAGGGCGAGCGCAGCAGCAGCAGCAACGCGGTGATGATGACTGCGCGGGACGCGGCGCGCATCAGCAACGCCTCCATGCTGCTTCTCGATGCCGCGGAGCGCAGCAGCCACCGCCTGTGGATTGGAAACATCGACCTGCGTGTCACGGAGTGAGTCGAGCGTTGGGCGAACGTACGTGTGCAGCACACGTACACACACACGCGTGCATGCATGGAAGGTAGATCATCGATTATCCGGGGTGGACGGAGCACTGGATTTTCAAAAACGCCAGGTAATCGCTAATCATTATTTAACATAGGTTATTTTTTCACATTCTTGTATAACATTGCCTGCAGGTGTTTTAAATTTGTTTACTCCATGAAATTGGCATGAATAAATATACAAATAGACGAATACATATCTTTCAAAGTTACTGTATTTACTGTACCGTACTTACCACTGCAATCTCGAAGACTCTGCATGTATATACTTCTAGATTTGAAGTTTTCGTGACTGCAATGATCCATACTCTTTGGTTCTTTCGGTAAAGTCACGTAGGTAAAAATTAAAATAAAGTTAATCAAATCACGACGTTTCGGAAGCAACACAAGCCTCCATCATCAGGTGGGATAGTCACAGCAAGAAGTAATGTCCACTACAGCAAATTACTTCTTTGCTGTGACTATCCCACCTGATGACGGAGGCTTGTGTTGCTTCCGAAACGTCGTGATTTGATTAACTTTATTTCTTATTTTTACCTACGTGACTTTACCAAAAGAACCAAAGAGTATGTATATACTTGCAGTATTTTCATTGTTTAAGTTGTATGTAGTGTATAATGTACTGTATGTAACATTTAACACTGAAATCAAGTGCAGCTACTTTTTTCGTCATGCACGCGGTGCCGATCGCCAGACTGGGTACAGTCTTTGGAGCGATTTTGCCGGTTTCGCCGGATCGGCACGGGACCGCCAGATCTAGTTGAAAACCGCCGAATAATCGCGTGCCGGATAATCGATGATCAACTGTATGTTGAACTTCTTTCGCACTCTACGTAGCCAACCGTGCTAATCGGAGGTGCGTACATATCCATTGTTATACTGCACTTCGTTTACTCCTATACCCTTCCGTCTCCACCAGCCTGGTCGAGCCGGCGTTGTGACATATGGGTAAAATAATCCCCGTGGCATGGGTTGACCAAAGGCTGAAAACGGTAGATGTCATTGATTTGATATTTGCAGAGGTGCCTAATAGAAGTCGATGCCTCTCATTGGAGACAAAAATCTCTGCTTCACTCTCACCGCTTAGGTGAGAGTGATCCGTAGATCATATGGAGGTGCACAGAATCGTACGCTCGCGATGTGCACGGTGGTGGTTCTCCTTTGGGATTGATTCAATCTATGTTTACGTTTATAGAGAGCGCCTTAGCTCAAGGCGATTTACGTAGTTTCAAAATGAATTAGTTGGCAGGGGCGTGCAAGGGTTGAGAAACGAATGACCATGAAAGGGGAGGGAAGGAAGTGAATGGGGCGTGGGGGGGTGAAGGGCAGAGAGTGGGCGAGAGAAAAGAGATGTGGCTTTAAACTGAAGGGGAGATCTGGGAATTTCCGCCACTGCGTTATCCTGGCTCCAATCATATCGCTCTTCACGCTCATCCTCGGTCTCCTTCAATCACTGCTCCTGCACCCCTACTTGACCCGTCACAGCAGGTGTTCCCCAAGGCTCTGTCCTGGGCCCCCTTCTCTTCTCCCTCTGCATCTCTCCTCTCGAAACACTCATCTCCTCCTTTCACTTCTTCCACCACTTCTTCGCCGACGACGTCCAAATGTTCTCCTCTTTCTCCACTTTCACTCCGGACCTCTCTTCTCGCATTTCAGCCTGCCTAACCGCCCTTCAATCTTGGATGTCGCTTCACCTCCTTGCTATCAACCCCTCTAAAACCCAATGTTCTATTTTTTTCCCCGCTGCTCTTTCCCCTCCACGCACCCTCGCCATCACCTTCCCACCCTTCTCAATCACCCCTGTCCCTTCTGCCCACAACCTTGGTGTCCTCTTTGACTCCTCCTTTCCCTCACCTCTCACATCTCCGCCATCACCCGCACTTGTCGTTTCCACCTTGTCAACATTAGCAAAATAGGCCCTCTCATCCCTCAGTCGACGGCCAAACTGCTAATACACTCACTCATTCCCTCGTCTAGACTACTTTAACTCTCTCCTGCTCGGTCTACCAGAATATGCATTCATTCCACTACAACATATCCAAAATGCGTCTGCACATTTCATTTACAACCTACCACACTGCTCCTGTACCTCTGCCCTTCTTATAGAAATGCACTGGCTCCCCATCTACCCGGTGTCTCTTCAAGCTAATTACGCTGGTATTTAAATCTTTGCATGGCCTTGCCCCACCTTCCCTCATCTCGTTTTACGTCCCCTCCCACCTGCTCCGCTCTCAATCTCTCCTATCACTCCGAACCGTTCCCCCTTCTCCATGTGCACAATCGCCGTTTCCGCTCCTTTTCCTTACTTTCCCCCCTTGCACTGGAACAAACTTCCCCTCCATATTAAGCAGGCACCTTCCCTGTCCAGTTTCCGCTCCTCCCTCAAGACCTCCACCTCTTATCCCTGGCCCATCCTTCCCTGGGCACCCCCATAATTCCGGTACCCACTAACGACCCTCCTTATATCCCATCCCTATTCACCGTATCACTTTTAGTTACCCTAATTGTACCACTCATAACCCTTGTAAAGTGATTTGGATAAAAGCGCTATATAAATATAAGATAAGATGTACACATGGTGTGGAGCACGTGGCGTAATCAATCGTGTCACACGTCCCACAAACAGGTCCAGAGTTTGCCTGCCTATTCACATTCTTCTAGAAATCGTTGACCTAAAACGTTGGACCTATCTCCGTGTATTATATCGCCATGCACAGCCCGTGGCCTTACTGTGGTGCCTCTGGCTGACAATTTTGTTTGGCATGATTTAACACTTATGTATTAGTCGATTGTCTGCATGCTCCATTGTTAACGCGTGTGTAGTTTTAGACTGACTCTTAAGAGTACAGTAGTCCCTTGGTTAACAGTGACATTGGTTAACGGTTTTCCGATTAATGATTCGCTTCCCATAGGGACCTCCCCATGGTTTATACTAATTTTTCAATTGTGATTAACGGCATGTTTACGTTATGCACGCAGTAGTGCCAGTTTCGGCCAATCGGAGCGCTCGTAAGCGGGGCTGAGCCAAGACCCTCAGCCAATCAGCGACGCACCATTTATAAGCGTTTAGACCTCGACTGGCTTTGTTCACATTGTGTTTTCTGTTTTGACAGGGAAGACCGCTCTCTTGCAGACTCGGTGATTTTTACTTATTTTTTACTACGTTCGATTAACAGTTATTTCGGTTCACGGACTACGGTATGCATGCGTCTTCTTTGGCGAGCACGTTTTCCTGCGTTTGTATTCATTATGTCTGCGCGTGCGTTTGTTTGCACGTGACAGATTTCACCTGTTAAAGATCCTGCAAAAGTTTGGCCACATCAAGGAGTTTGACTTTTTATTCCACAAATCGGGTCCTTTGGAAGGCCAGCCTCGAGGATACTGCTTTGTGAACTACGAGACGAGACCGGTAAGAGCAAATACATACACACAGCTACGCACCACACACACACACGGTGTGAGTTCCTACAAATACGTACACACAGCCACACACACACAGTGTGACTTACTACAAATACATACACACAGCCACACACACACACACGGTGTGACTTCTAACAAGTACACACAGCCACACACACACGGTGTGACTTACTACAAATACCTACACACAGCCACACACATACGGTGTGACTTACTACAAATACATACACACAGCCACACACACACACGGTGTGACTTCTAATAAGTACACACAGCCACACACACGGTGTGACTTACTACAAATACCTACACACAGCCACACACACACACACGGTGTGACTTACTACAAATACCTACACACAGCCACACTCCACTAACACACACACGGTGTGACTTACTACAAATACCTACACACAGCCACACACACACACGGTGTGACTTCTAATGAGTCCACACAGCCACACACACATGATGTGAGTTACTACGGATTGCGTCAAACATATCAAGTAATTCGTTTTCAATCTTGATGATTTAAAAGTGCGTCGCTCCAGTGGCTTCCTAACATTGGAAGGAAGAGAGTTCCAAACGGTCTCAGAAGCGCATGTGAAAGCGTGCGATGGAGTGATCGTCTTATTTTCGATGGTTGGCCAGAAGCCGCCGTTGCGAGGATGACCGGAGTTTGCGTGATGGTTAATGCTGCTTGACGAGAAGAATAGAGAACAGGAACGGTTCCGAAACGCGTGCCGGTCCTTTGCGTTCAGTGTTCTTAATTTGTGTACCGGCACAGTTTCTACCACCGCACAGGGTCTGTTAACCCTGTGCATGGTTGAGTGCGTCGTAACGTGTTGTGGCTCGTTGCGATCTCTCTCTGTGTGTGTGTGCATGGCCGTCAGGAAGCGGAACGTGCCATACAGCACCTGAACGGGAAGCTGGCTCTCTCGCGCCCGCTTGTCGTCCGCTGGGCACATGCGAAGTTTGCGGTGAGTGCCCGCGCTTTTGGCATTCACTAATCATGGCGGATCTCAACCAGCGGAATGCAAAAAAGGCCTTTAGGTGGTGGGGGAATGGGGCGCAGACTGTGGCATGATTGACGTGCAGGAGAAATTTCAAACGTGCGTGCAGAACGTCGGTAAAATGGTGTTCTTTACTAATTTTCAGAGGGGGGGGGGCCCACTTCCGCCCGATAAGACAGTGGTGAGGGCCGCCACACCGCTTGCAAGGGGGGTGTTTTCACATTCGTGTATTGTCGGGGAGGCCTCCCGTCAGGGGCCGCACTAAAGGCCACCAGGGACCGCCAGTGGCCCGCGCGCCTCGCCACGAAGAGCGCTGACGTAGCGGCAACAACCCAATTTACACCGCAGTACCGGGAGGTGACGGGTTGTGTTTCCACTGCAGAAGCCGAGCCGTGCCACAACAGATATGTGGAGGCACGTGTAGATGACCCGGTGACGCACACATGCACGCAGTTGCACATATGTCCAGGCCGGAAGTTGGGACACAAGTGGTCTTGATTGGGGGGGGGGGGGGGGGCCCGCGTGCATTAGCAATAAAGTTGAGAACCACTGCGTTAAAACCAATGATTGCATACACACACGAACGTGCACAGTTTAGAATGTCTAATGTGTATCTTCTGGGTTATAAGAGGCTCGGAGAAGTAAGACACGCTCCAAATTGCGGAGTAATTTTTAAAGAGAGAGGGAGTGTTTTATGTACATGTGTGAGAACGTGGTACTTTGGAGAGCTGACTTCCACAAGATGATGCTGAACATGCCGCTTTAAACCAGGGAGCGATGTCTTCTGGACGATGATTCTGAATGGATGGTGTGGTGTCTTCTTCTGTGCTTATGTATTTAAGAAGAGGCTGAACAACTAGATTAAAAACACATCTTGCGGAAGACAATATAAGACGCTTCGCCAACTTGTGCTTTAAAATACTTGGGAAAAAATACATCTGGAATATTATGGTAATTACACTTAAAACTGAAAAACATTATTAACTGGCATTGACCAAACATCGCAGTGTTGACAAATGACCTGCAAATTACTGAACCCTTTCTCTCTCCAATGATGTACGTGTCCATCATCAAAACCGAACCGGAAGAAAAAATCAAATAACTTTATCGGTACCGAGGCTCCCACAAAGCCATGCGGGAGGGTGTGTGGCAAAGTTTGGCACCAGCTGTCATAGAGTGCGGCGGTCGTGTCGCTATGGTTCTCTGCGGTGAGTACAATATCTTTAAAAACAACGGCGCTGCTACACCTCTCTAAATAAAATTAACGCTGAGCCTCTTGCTTGTTCCGAGATTCAGCGGTGAACGGGACAACCCACCCTGCAACTTGCAGACGTCTCGGAAATGTGTTACCAGCGAGCGTGTGCAGAGTTTGCTTGCAATGATTACATTGTATGTATGAAGGTTGAACTTCTTTCGCACCGTACGTAGCCAACCGTGCTCATCGGAGGTGCAGAGGAAGGACAACAAACTAAACACAAAGCAGTTTTTAAGAAATAACTTTAAAATTTACGTTTAAAAGTGCATAGTTCCAGTGGCTTTCGTATTACCGGGAGGAAGAGCATTCCAGACGGCCGCAGAAGTGCACCTGAAAGCGTGCAATGCAGCGACTGTCAAATCATGACAATCTAAAAAAAGTTACGGCGGTTTGTAGTGGAGTTCTATAAACTCTGTGACTTGTCTCACGAATGGAACCTTGCGTGCGTATGTGTGTTTTCTGTGAAATGTGCAGCAAGGATATGAGTATCCAAAGAAGGAGGTGGTCATGCCAACAAGCTTGGAGCCGTCGACCAGTGAGCCGCCAGCCCCCGTACAGACGAGCCTCAGGTGCGTGTGCGCGTGCGGAGATCTGTATGCAGTCACGTGCGCGCTCTCCCTGAGTGAGCCACCTTTTTCTGTTCCCGCTCATTCCACTGTCTTCTCCGAGCCACCGAAGCCACCGTCGCAACTTGCCAAACGGCGTCCACGGGGCTTGGACTTTTGCCGATGAAAGCAACGAAGTTAAAACGTCACGATACAAAAGAGTATATTCAATAAATTGAAGTAAATATCAGAATCTGAATACTAGAGGAATCCGATGAGCTATGAAGCTCTTTTTCACAGATGTGCAGGAAATAAAACTGGGCATCCTTGCAAATGAGATTTTCCATCTGATGAGATTTTCCAGGTGATATATGTAATAAATGAACAGCTCCTGTATAGGAATTGAGGCTTTCAATATGCAACGTCAACCCACTTAACCTGTATGCATTAATGTGCGCAGTAGAGCATTGTCCATATCACCATGAGCAATTAACAAGTTTATTTTTTTACGCACAATTGTTGAGCACAGTCCCAAAATCACAAAACATAAATAGCCAGCAACAAACAGCACAATAAAAGTTGTCCTAGATAAGGGTAACACGTTTTTTAATTGAGCACAAAAGGTTAGTTGGGCTTCGAAAAAAAAGAGGTGAAACTGCGTGTTGATCAGAGATTGTCAAAGGGTTGAGTCTGACCGGCTCAAGGGACCCCTTTCTACCACATTATTTTGTGGGCCTGCGTTGGCAGTGGTGGTGCACAAGCACAAATAACTTGAGCACTGTCGCCTTGAAAGAAAAAATGTAGGATAGATTCAAGCATATACCACATGCGTTGTCTCGGCTAGTGGCCCTTCACATTGTTCACGGAAGTAGACCGTGTCTCCCTTGACTCGTCACTCTGTACTGAGCAGGACCGTGTCTGCCTTGACTCGTCACTCTGTACTGAGCAGGACCGTGTCTCCCTTGACTCGCCACTCTGTACTGAGCAGTACCGTGTCTGCCTTGACTCGCCACTCTGTACTGAGCAGGACCGTGTCTCCCTTGACTCACCACTCTGTACTGAGCAGGACCGTGTCTGCCTTGACTCGTCACTCTACCGAGCAGGGCCGTGTCTGCCTTGACTCGCCACTCTGTACTGAGCAGGACCGTGTCTGCCTTGACTCATCACTCTGTACTGAGTAGGACCGTGTCTGGCTTGACTCATCACTCTGCACTGAGCAGGACCGTGTCTCCCTTGACTCGCCACTCTACCGAGCACTGCTATTCACGCACAGCTCTCGGCACTCGCCGTTAACGAAAAGAGTATCTCGTAATTCCTTTGAATGGCATCTTGACGAAACGACTATTGAATCTGGTGGTAATCCATCCGTTAGCCATCAGGAGTTGCTGGATGTTATCGCATGAGTAACCTTGTCTGTAAGCAGTCGTGTTACGCGACGAGGAGATTTCACTTCACCGACCGAAATTCGGTTTCGGTTTCGGCGCCGAAAGTTGGCAAATGGCCTCTTTCGGCAAACTTTCGGTTTTGGCCGAAAGTCAATATTTTACTTTCGGTCCGGTTTCGGTTTCGGCCGAATAAGATATTGACTTTCGATCGTCATTCGTCAACCGAAGATCTATTTTTAGAATATAACGCTAGTGCTACGTCTATCACGTCAGTCGGCGCTAGGCAATCCTACGCGATAGGCTGCAAACACACACACGTCAGCAGCAGCAGCTTGGGAGTGAGGTTACAGCCGCAACCATGGTCTGCTGTCAACAGACGGCAGCCTGCATCTGCATCCGTGGGTGGAGTCTCTTTGGCGGGACGACAACAAAGTGCCTCTGTTGCCTGTTCCCAGCTGCCTGCCTGCCTTGGCTTATGTGTTGCGTTCGCGTCAGACTACACGCGTGTTGATACCGAGATTCAAAGTCTGACAATTAGAAGCCGACCGAAATTCGGCAAATGGCCTCTTTCGGCATTGTTTCTGTTTCGGCCAAAGCCAAAAAGTTAACTTTCGGTTTTCTTTGGGTTTTGGCCGAAACCAGAAGTTCAGTTTCGGTCGGCCTCTAAATGGGGGTGACTCTTTCATTCCACGATTGTGCAGGAAATAGCCACGCCTGCCACGTGTTCATGTAAGGAGTAGGCACTCTGGTTAGATATTCTTAGCTCTTTGTTTCCCTTCAACGTGACTTTACCGAAAGAGCTAAGAATATGAATGACTGCAGTCACGAAAGCTTTAAATCAAAATTGAACTCTGGTTAGATTTTCAATTTGTAGACTAAATAGGCCGGGGATCATTGAAGTCAACAAACCAACGTGTTTAGCAATCTAGCAGTGAGGCAACTCGTGTGATCTGCAGTTGTTTGATTTATAAATATCATTGACAGTCCATAAGAGGTAAATATACATTTCTTATTAAACCCGCCACCACCCGACAGCCAACTAGTAAGGTTTGTCACGTGAACAAAACGTGCCAATTCGTTACTAGTACAACACGCCGGTTGTGTGTTGGAGAGTAAACCCACTACAACATTTACAATTATAGTGTCGTGTATAGTGTAGTATACTAGTTCAGCACACCGGTTGTGTGTTGGAGAGTAAACCCACTACAACGTTTACAATTATAGTGTAGTGTATAGTGTAGTATACTAGTTCAGCACACCGGTTGTGTGTTGGAGAGTAAACCCACTACAACGTTTACAATTCCAGTACCGTGACGTTTTGCCTGTATTTACCACAACCAGCCTCATCAGGCGACGGCCAGAACAACGGATCAATTCTGGCTAATATTGCTCGCAAAAGCCTCCATGCCATTGGAAGCGGTGGTTGTGATTTCAAGTGAACAGCCATTGGTGGTTTTCCCGTAACTCTCTCTGACCACAAGAATGCGTGATGTGCGACAACGGCTCAGCGGTTGCACACTTGAAATCGTCCCTGCGCTGGACTAGTCTTGGTCGGCGTGGAAGAAGAGACCAATGACCTCCTTGGAGCTCCCTCGAGCGGGGGGACACCCTCACGTCCGACAGAGGCGTGCGCAAGCAGTTGCGGGGATGCCCCTTTACGCTTGCCCGTCGCGTGAGCGCACGCGTGCGCGTGTCCGTATCCGTCGGCGCCCATGCTTTGACAGTGCCGCCCCCTTTGTCCTTGCCGTGCGCGCAGCATCAACGCCAAGATCCAGGCGATCGAGGCGAAGCTGAAGATGATGGAGGAGAACCCCGACATGGAGTATTGCCCCTCTCCGGAGTCCAACCCCCTCTTCTACATCAACCGAGTTGCGGGCAACGCCGCGGACGGGGGCAGGCCCGAGCGGCGGCCGTGGACTGACCGGCGAGGCCGGGGGGCCCCCTACCGCTCGCATTATTCCCGCGGGGGGCGCAGATAGCACGGTCATGTACACGCACACACACGTGTCTACTAGCACACACACAAACACGTCTACTAGCACACACACACGTCTACTAGCACACACACGTCTACTAGCACATACACGTCTACTAGCACACACACACGTCTACTAGCACATACACACGTCTACTAGCACACACACACGTCTTCTAGCACACACACACGTGTCTACTAGCACACACACACGTCTACTAGCACACACACACACGTGTCTACTAGCACACACACGTCTACTAGCACATACACGTCTACTAGCACACACACACACACACACGTCTACTAGTACACGCACACACACACGTGTCTACTAGTACACACACACACGTCTACTAGCACACACACACACGTGTCTACTAGCACACACACACACGTCTACTAGCACACACACACACGTCTACTAGCACACACACGTCTACTAGCACACACACACGTCTACTAGCACACACACACACGTGTCTACTAGCACACACACACACGTCTACTAGCACACACACACACGTCTACTAGCACACACACACATCTACTAGCACACACACACACGTCTACTAGCACACACACACACGTCTACTAGCACACACACACGTCTTCTAGCACACACACACGTGTCTACTAGCACATACACGTCTACTAGCACACACACACACACACGTCTACTAGTACACACACACGTATACTAGTACACGCACACACACACACGTCTTCTAGCACACACACACACACACGTCTACTAGCACACACACACGTCTACTAGCACACACACACACGTCTACTAGCACACACACACGTCTACTAGCACACACACGTCTACTAGCACACACACACACCTCTACTAGTACACACACACGTATACTAGTACACGCACACACACACACGTCTACTAGCACACACACACACGTCTACTAGTACACACACACGTATACTAGCACACACACACACGTCTACTAGCACACACACACACGTCTACTAGCACACACACACACACACGTCTACTAGCACACACACACGTATACTAGTACACACACACACGTGTCTACTAGCACACGCACACACACACGTGTCTACTAGCACACGCACACACACACGTGTCTACTAGCACACACACACGTCTACTAGCACACACACACACGTCTACCAGCACACACGTCTACTAACACACACGTCTACTAACACACACACACGTCTACTAGCACACACACACGTCTACTAGCACACACACACACACACGTCTACTAGCACACACACACACACGTCTACTAGCACGGTCATGTACATGTATCCTTAAACAGACTGTTAGGGCAAGTGCTTTGAAGGCCGACACGGCACACGACTGGGTAGGTGGCCAACACCACGCCCGACCGCCTTTGTCTCCCCAGTGGTGATATTTTACACACGGCACCAGGTACTCATTTGAGGCTGAGTCGACCTAGGGGAGGGCCAGCACTGGTTGAGAACGTGAAGCAAACTCGGGTCGTCGGGTTCGTAGCGCAGCTCGCCACCGCTCCCCCTACCCCCACTCCCTTCCCCCGCTTATTTACATGAACACGAACACGTCTATTAGCATAATCACGAACACACGTGTGTCAGCATAGTCATGTACACACACACACGTCCGTTTTGCACGTGTGTCACACGTATATGCACATTATACGAGCATGCACTGTACATTCACGTGCACACCTCCACGGTTGTTTGCATACAGCCTCGCACATTTGTACACGCACGTGTTTGTGTGTGCGGATTGTGTGTGCGCATCCATACGAGTGTTGATCAAAACGTTCGTAGCCTGACAAGAGAAGGTGCTTACCGACCTCAATATCATTTGTCTACACGGCTGCCTGAAAGTGCGGTGCACTAAATCGACACTTTGCCAGGCCTCGAGCTGTTTTGAGTCTAAATCCGAACACAGATGGCTCAGCTTATTTTCTCTGCAAATGATACGGTCTTTGTGGACATATATAGAAGTCACTGGGAATCAGGTCTAGTGAGTGAGATTTCTACAAATGTCTGCGTCTTTTTATATTTTTGCATTTATGGTTAACACAAAAAGTTAGCTCAGTCTTTATAAAATAAGTGTCCATTTGTTGCTCTTTCAACCACACGCACTGTGTCAGCCCACTGGACCTTTTGATCGGCCCTTGTACCTCAGTCGGTACACATGCAGGATATTTTCCCAGCGCCTAAATCCCCAATGCACATGGCGGCACTACGAAAACACCACAGCTGACACCGGCAGATGTCACCTGACAGCGATTTAATATCTCGAGCCAAACGCCACTGCCGATGTGCGAGCCGCAATCAACGGTGCGACACTTCGTGAACTCGGTGTCCACGGCGAGCGAGCGAACGAGCGTCCTTCCCGAGTGATTCACACTGTGCTCTGGAGCCAGCAGCTGGATTTACAATCTTAGACGTCGGCTTCTCGTCTCTACGCTTCGGTAACAAAAGGTCGCAACGTTTACTTTTGTTGCTAAGCAACATGGGGGAAACCGGCGACGCATGGCGCGAGAGAGGCGGCCGGCCCTGGTGAGAGGGAAATCTCCACACCGCCATCTCCTCCCCGGGGTCGCCCCACGCCCTCGGAACAGCCAGGGCAGCCGTCGCCGGCTCGCAAGGGCCGCCGACTCCGAACCACGTGACTGCCCCCTGTGTGAAGATCTGGCCGATCTCAGGTGGTGGTGGCGGTGCCGAGATTTCCCCATCCAGCTGCCCTCGATGGATTTTTTAAAAATATATATAATGATAAATGCGACAATAAAGCAACGTCTACTTTCACGTGTCATACGCCGGCACAACCTTGGTTCGGACATGTCGCAAGAACGAGCTCGAGTAGGAGCCCACGCATTTGGGGATTTCCGAGAGCCACACGGGAGAGAGACGGTGGAGCGAGTGAGGTCGAAGAACAAGCGAGGCGGTTCGGAGAAGCGGTGATGCTGGCTCCCACTAAATACGCAGCAAACATTAATTCGTCCCGATGGGGGCTGATCTGATGGAAAGGACACGACGCTGGGCACGAGATAGGATTTGCTGTTCGCTGGCATTGCGTTACGTTGCGATGTTGAGGAACCATAGCCCAACACGTTTCTATCAGCCGACTAACACCCTTGTGGAAATTGACTAATTTATCACAAATTGCTGCCTTTCCAGTTAGCTTCCCATCCCATTACCTGCCGCGCCTGTACTTTGTCTATTGCTCCACAAATGTCAGTTCTTTAATTTAACGTGTTTTGCCTCCTTTTATTTCTAACTATAGGTCATAAGTCACATTGATTTCACAAAAGCCTTGGTGTAATTTTTTTATTAATGGGATTTCTCTTTAAATTTGAGTTTAGCAGTTCATAGTTTGACTATTAAAAAAAAAAGATTGTATTCGAGATGAATAGACCAATTGTACCTAACAGTTTGCATATTTTACTGCTCAAGGTTATAATGCAATGTTTAGGTCCAAATGTCGAACTGTCTCCATGCTCAACTCGGTGTGAGCCGGTGATTGTCTACAGATGGCGACCCTCGGCGATGGAAATGTCGCATCGATTTGATGGGAGTCATTCTCCTAATGAAACTTATCAGGCTGCCTGCTACCCACTCGTGGACATCCGCATTATTGACCCGGGAGAACTGTTTGGCTGAGTTGAACCTGGCCGGGATTTTTAATTTAAATGTTTTAGGTTTCATATGTCGCCGATTGAGAAAGGATGCATTGCTTTTTCTTTCTTTCTATAGCTTTAGCTTTGTACAAGTACATTGGTAGTGAAGAAGTCGTTTAAAGGGATAGCTGAATGTGAAATTGTGAATATTTTAGAAGCAATGAAACGTGTATATAATTCAGATGATGATTTTGTAATGGCAAACTTGAATAGTTCTCAGTAAACAAGGCTTAGAAAGTGATCGAGTGTTCGTTTGTTTCTCAATCCGCTTGTCCTGGTGAGGTTCGAGGCGGCAGCGTGTTGAGTAGTGGCGGTGCAGACCTCCCTTTCCCTGGCGACAGACTCTAGCTCTTCCTGGGGAATTCCCAGGCGTTCCCAAGCCAGCTGAGCAACATAGTCCCGCCAGCGTGTCCTGTGCCAGCCCCAGGGTCTTCGCCCAGTGGTACGGGCCCGGTAGAGGTCCCGGGGAAGTCCACCGTGGGACATTTTTACGATGTGCCCGAACCAACTGACTCCTCTCGATTCGGAGGAGCAGCGGCTCGACTCGATGGCTCTCCGGAATTACCGAGCTCATCCCATCACGGAGAGTGAGCCCGGCAACCCTGCGGAGAAACCTCGTTTTGACACCTTGTACCCACGATCTCATCATTTCGGTTATTGCCCAAAGCTCATGACCATAGGTGAGGGTGGGAATGTAGATCGACCTGTAAACCGCGAGCTTTGTTCGTGAACTCGGCTCCCACTTCACTACCACGGAATGGTGTAGTGCCCGCAACACTGAAGACACCGCACCGATCCGCCAGCCGATCTCCCGCTTCCACTTTCCATCATTCGCGAAAGAGATTTTCGAGGTACTTCAACTCCTCCACTAAGGGCAGCTGTTCCCCCATCACCTGGAGAGAACCATGACCTCAGATTTAAACGTGCTGACCCTCATCCCGGCCGCTTCACACTCGGCATCAAACAGTTCAAGTGCACGCTGGAGATCACAGACTGACGAGGCGAAGAGGACAACGTCATCTGAAAAAAGCAGTGACGCCGCCTCCATGCCCCTGTACTGGATGCTCTCCATATCCCGGCTGGCCTTGATATCCTGTCCATGAAAATCACAAACAGGAGTGGAGACGAAACGCATCCTTGGCGGAGTCCAACACCCACAGTGAAACAACTTTTATTTAACACTAAGAATACAGATAGCTCTCGCTTCGGGAATGGAGGGACCGGATAGCGCACAAAAGCGGCACCGGTACATCATACTCCTGCAGCACCTCCCACAAAAATTGTGGGGAACACAGTCACGTGATTTCTCTAAGTCTACAAATCAGAGGTCGACTGGAGAAGCGTACTCCCGTGACCCCTGAAATATCTGTGAGAGGGAAAAAGAGCCGGTCCATTGTTCCACGACCATGACGGAATCCGCATTGTTCCTCCTGTACCTGAGGC